ACCTCTGGTACAGTGGTTTTTAGGGTCTGAGTCAGGGCCATTGCATCACCTGGGAACAAGTTAGAAGTGCAAATTCTCATGTACCCCATCCCACCCAAGCTCCCGAATCAATCTCTGGGTTGAAGCACCACAATGTGTATCTTAACATGCTGATGAGGAAGAATGGCTTGAGTCATTCAAACACACGTTACTCACTTGTGGATACCAGTCAAGGCAGGTGAAGCAAGCACGTGATTATCCAAGATGAGAGGTGAGTACATTAGACCCTAATTTGTTGTTTTTCACTTAATTGGCATCTGCTTCAGACACTAACCAGGGTTGAAGCTTGAGACATCTCCACATCTGGGCTACAAATGTGTATGAGGTAGGTATAGCTGGGTGAAAAAAATCTGCAAACTAAGGATTAGGTCTTGTCGCTAAGTAACAAATAGCTGCAAACCTGTCACATGCTTTTAAAGTATCCCAAAGGCTGCACTCTTAGTATTTCAGAAGCTTCTCTGGGTTGATGCTCCCTGTGCTGATAATGCATTTGCTGTTAACCTGGGTCTCTGGTGTTACTGTCTGTGGGCTTGTCTGCCTCTATCTTTGTGTCTCTCCCTGCTTTTTTCTTTTTGGTTCGCCTTTCCACTTTTAGTCTCTATTCTGTAACAGAGACCTACTATTATTTTGTTCTTATTGGTTTATCAATAATAAACTACACTAATGGAAGAGTTCTGCATTCTCTTAATTGTATTTATTTTTTTTGGCATCGCCCCGTGGCAGGTGGGACCCTAGTTCCCCAACCAGAGATTGCACCCGTGTACCCTGTAGTGGAAGCGGGGAGTCTTAACCACTGGACCACCAGGGAAGTCCCATTCCCTTAATTTTCAAAGCAAACAAATGGGATATCTGTTATCAAGGGGTAAAAACTAAATGAGATAGCATTGCTTTTAAAGTTATGTTGCCCTTTGAGGTTTTGTGAGGAGGTCTTTTCTTTCCCCTTCTCCCTAGATAGAAAAATCTTTGGGGGAAAATTGTTAGAGGGATTATTAGGGTATGGCTAGTCATTTTTTTTTTTTTTTTTTTTTAATTAATTTATTTTTGCTGTGTTGGGTCTTCGTTTCTGTGCGAGGGCTTTCTCTAGTTGTGGCAAGTGGGGGCCACTCTTCATCGCGGTGCGCGGGCCTGTCTCTATCGCAGCCTCTCTTGTTGCGGAGCATAGGCTCCAGACGCGCAGGCTCAGTAGTTGTGGCTCACGGGCCTAGTTGCTCCGCGGCATGTGGGATCTTCCCGGACCGGGGCCCGAACCCGTGTCTCCTGCATCGGCAGGCAGATTCTCAACCACTGCGCCACCAGGGAAGCCCTAGTCATTTTTTAAGTTATATTTTCTATGAAGTTTGAACCTGGTTCCTCCTTCTTTTTTTTTTTTTTTTTTTTTTTTGCAGTATGCGGGCCTTTCACTGTTGTGGCCTCTCCCATTGCGGAGCACAGGCTCCAGACGCGCAGGCCCAGCGGCCATGGCTCACGGGCCTAGCCGCTCCGCGACATGTGGGATCTTCCCAGACCGGGGCATGAACCTGTGTCCCCCGCATCGGCAGGCGGACTCTCAACCACTGCGCCACCAGGGAAGCCCTGGTTCCTCCTTCTTAGTTACAGAAATAAAGGAGATGGTTATATTTAATCTGAAGTGTTAGACCCAGTTAGTGTGGAAAACCCTCGCGATCACCTTTGCCCTGTGTCCTATTCCTTCCCCGACACTCTGTCCCCCTCTCTCCAGTCTTTGCAAAGCCTCAGGGACTGATGTGGCCTTCTTTCAGGTCATCCATTTTTGCTTTGTTTTTGTGGGTGTGTTTTCATTAAAGTATAACATGCGTACAAAAAAAGGCACAGGTCATAAATATACACTGGGTTGGGTTTTCTCAAAGTGAACTTCCCATGTCATCGCTATCCACATCAAGAACTGGAACTTGACCAGTATCCAGACACCATTCCTCCTACATGCCCGCCCACCCAGTCACCTCCCCCTCCTCCCCAAGTGAACACAATCCTGAATCCTAAGTCATACACTCATTTTGCCTATTTGGGGGCTTTGTGTAAGTGGAATCATCCCATATGTATTACTCTGTGTCTGGTGTCTTTAAGTCAACATTATGTTGGGGAGATTCATCCCTGTGTTGCAAGTAAGTAGCATTCGTTTATTTTCATTGCTGTATTATACTTCAATTGTGAGAACACACCACAATTTGTTTATCCACTCTACTGTTGATGAGCATTGGAGTATTTCCAGTTTGGAGATAATACAGGTTCTTGTACATGTCCTTTGGTACATGTATACATGCACTTCTTTTCAGTATATACCTAGGAGTGAAATTGCTTGCATAGGATTTACACATATTCAACTTCAGCAGAGACTGTGAACCAGTTTGCCAAAGTGGTTGTAACAAGTACCCACCTGCAGTGTGTGAGTTGCTTCCCATCCTTCCTAGCACTTGATATTGTCTTTTTAATTTTAGCTGTTCTGGTAGGCGTATAGTGGTCCCTCTTTGTGGCTTTAATTTGCATTTTCTTGATAACTGATAATGTTGAGCACCAATGTTTAATGGTTTTCAGATATCTTCTTTTGTGAACTTCCTTTCCAGATCTTTGCCCATTTTTCTGTTGGGTTGTCTGTCTTGTTAATTTGTGGAAGTTAGTTATGTATGGACAGGAGCCCCTTGTTGGATATATGTTTTACATATATTCTCTTTGTCTTTTGATGAATGGTTCTTAATTTTAATGGGGTTCAATCATTTCCTTTACGATCCTATTAAAGAAATCTCTGCCTGTATCATAAAGATGTTCTTCCATGTTACACTCCAGAATCTTTAGATCTAAATTTAAATATACAGCCCATCTGGAATTGAATTTTATGTAAGGTTTGAGGTGGAGTTCAAGATTCATTTTCAGATGTGTGTATATGTGTGTGTGTGTGTGTATGTATGTATGTACATGTGTGTATATATATATTGTACATGTATGTATGCACACACATATAAAATCTCTGGACCATTAGGGTTTTTTGTTGTTGTTGTATTTTGTTTTGATTTTTTGCTTATTTTTTTATAATGAACTTTTCTATTTTAGAATAGTTTTTGATTTCCAGAAAAGTTGCAGAGATAGTACAGAGAGTTCCCATGTACCCTTTACCCGTTTTTTCCTGTTCTCATCACCTTATGTCACTATAATACATTTGTCATAGCTAAGGAATCAATGTTGATGCATTCTTATGAACTAAAGTCCATACTTTATTCAGAGCAGGACCATTAGATTTTGACCAGTGGAAGTGCTAGTGAGGCATGCTTTGAGACCACGTCCTGTTAACTAAACCTTCAGTAACAAAGTCCCCTGGAGTGACCTGTCTTTGGTCTAAGCCTAAGCTGGAAAACTCAGCAGGGCTGAAGTGGTGTGACCGTAGGTCCCATGAGATCACTGGGAAGGAAGTATGGAAATCCTGCAGTTAAAGGCCCTCTAGGTTTGTTGTTAGCTTAAACTCTCATCTCTAGTTTATTTAAAATTCTGCCTGAGTTTTAAAGGTACAATGAGTGGTCTTCTCCTTGAGTCCTACAGGACTTTAGTTTTGTAATTTCTAACCAAAGTTTAAAATACATTGGTGATGAACAGTTTTTTATTTTTAATCACCATGCCTAATATTACATCCCCAGGACTTATTTATCTTATAACTAGAAGTTTGTACCTTTTGAACTCTCTAGCCATTTCACCCACCCTCCAGCCTCCACCTTTGACAACTACTCTGTATCTAGGAGTTTGGTTTTCTAATTTTTTGAGGAACCTCCATACTGTTTCCCATAATGGCTGCACCAATTTACATTCCTACCAACAGTGCACGAGGGTTCCCTTTTCTCCACATCTTTGCTCACACTTGTTATTTCTTATCTTTTTGATAATAGCTATTCTAACAAGTGTGAGGTCTCATTATAGTTTAGATTTGCATTTCCTTGATGATGAGTGATGTTGAGCATCTTTTCATGTACCTCTTGGCCATTTGTATGTCTTCTTTGGAAAAATGTCTATTCAAATTTTCTCCCCAATTTTTTTTATTCGGATTGTTTGCTTTTTTTGTTACTATGTTGTATGAGTGCTTTATATATTTTGGATATTAACCCCTTATCAGATACATGATTTGCACATATTTTCTCCCGTTCAGTAAGTTGCCTTTTTATTTTGTTGATGGTTTCCTTTGCTACACAGAAGCTTTTTGGTTTGATGTAGTCCCTCTTGTTTATTTTTGCTTTTGTTGCCTTTGCTTTTGGTGTCAAATCCAAAAAATCACTGTCAAGGAGCTTACTTGCCTATGTTTTCTTCTAGCTAGGAGTTTTACGGTTTCAGGTCTTACATTCAAGTCTTTAATCCATTATGAGTTAACCTTTGTGTATGTTGTAAGGTAATGGTCCAGGTTAATCTGATAAACAGCTTCGTAGAGAGTCAATGTTACTGATAGATGCCATGGGGAAGGAGACCTCAAGGTTCCCCTTTGGCCTTGGACGTGAGTGTGTAGAGAGCTCTATGGCTGATCCAGTCTTGTCTCCCCTCTTCAGCTCGGGCCTGGGGAATGTCACCATGACCCTTAGCTCTGAGGAAGGGAGGACAGAGAGCCCTTGATACCTCCAGACCTTTTACTGCCGGCTCCCCCCTACGACTTGCCCCTGCTAGACTTCACCGTCACAAACTTCAGCGGTGCTAGCATACTTCAAAGTGTCCCTGACTGCCTTAACTATTTTTACTTTTCAACTTAAAGTGCAGAATAAGCCCCTGTCACCATCTTTCACTTTGACAGCAGACATTTAAATTAAAGCAAGAAAGCAAGGAAGGCCAGCCAGCCCCATTAATATTTTATGAAATATTCATTGTTCTTTAACCTGGCCATAACCCCTGTCCTGGACGACGCTTTTATAGCTGACATACTGACCCCAGGATGCACACACGCCCACGCGCCGTTTTGTCTCTGTCCTGCTTCTCCTCAGTACCCTGAGCTCCCGACACTCTGCCAGCCCAGTTGTCTTCACCAGTGCCAGAAGTTCACCAAAAGAAGAACTGCATCCTGCCACCTCCTCGCAGCTCGTTCCTTCCTTCTCATCTTCCTCCTCCTCCGGTCCTAGGACTTTCTACCCTCGCCAGGGCGCTACTAGCAAGTACCTAATTGGATGGAAGAAACCCGAAGGAACCATAAACTCTGTGGGATTTATGGACACAAGAAAGTAAGGATTCTTTTGCTTCTCTTGCTGGGTTTTGTTTGTTTGTTTTTGCGGTACGCGGGCCTCTCACTGTTGTGGCCCCTCCTGTTGCGGAGCACAGGCTCTGGATGCACAGGCTCAGCGGCCATGACTCATGGGCCCAGCCGCTCTGCGGCATGTGGGATCTTCCCGGACTGGGGCACGAACCCATGTCCCATGCATCGGCAGGCGGACTCTCAACCACTGCGCCACCAGGGAAGCCCTCTTGCAGGGTATTTTGCTTTTAACATGACAGAGAACAGAAAAGCTTGGGGCAATTTCCTGCAAGAGAGGAGGCCAGCCTAGGGTCTGGGAAGAGGGTGGTTTGGTAGGGAGATTTTTTTTTCCCCTAAGTGCAACTTGTCTTAAATTGTTTCTTTGACACATTCCTTAAATAAGATAGATTGCAAAACATTCAGATTTGAGAATCTTAAGTCTCCTAGGAAAGAGTATGTCTGAAGAACAAACTTCAGAATAATCGCCCCTCTGGTGCTAAGACCACACTTGTCCCTTTGATGCTATTAATCACAGCCTTCCCCTGCAATTCCTAAATGGGCCAGGAGGCATCAGAGGGACTGTTAGAAAGTAAGTGACCACCTCTGAACATAGAGAACTTTTTGACAAAGTAGTACAGCAAAAAAATAAGTGATTCAGTCAATGACTTTTTGTTTGTACAAAGATTGCATTTGGGATTCATACCCTGTAGGCTTTTATTAATAAGTCTGTTGCTAATTTTGGCTTAATGGAGTTAATAGTTTTCCTATGAAAGAGTGATTTATTCTTCAGGCTTTTTATTTTGTATTTCAAATTGGTCTTGTTTCTCTAACAAGCATTTATCTGAGTAGATTCTAATGTAATTGAACAGAAGTGATTCTCCTTTTCTCCCCTTTAATAGCTCTCCATTGACTTACTTCTTTCAGAGCCCATCGTGCCCTTGAGTCAACCTTGTCGACTTAACTTCTACCCTCTCCTCCCCTTCTTTCAAGGCGTCATCAGAGTGATGGCAATGAAATAGCCCACACCAGGCTGCGTGCCTCAACCAGGGACCTCCGGGCATCCCCAAAGCCAACCTCCAAGTCCACCATTGAGGAGAATCTCAAGAAACTCATCAATCTGGAAAGCCCAACTCCTGAATCCCAGAAGAACTTTAAGGTACAGGGTAGAACTTGGGGTAAATAGCAGTTAGAGAGAGACCGAACGGGGCAGTTGAACCCTCCAGGAAGTGGTGGTTCCAGGCTCCTCTTCATCAGACCCCACTTCCCGCCATCACCTGACTGTCCCAGTAATTGGTTCACATGTTTTCCAGATGCTGTGTCCCTGCAGCCACATCTCTTGAGTCGTGTTTATATTAACCTGTCCCTACCCCCATGGCTTTTTTTCTTCCAGTGTATCCTACTTACAGTGCACAGGCTACACTTTCTTGACATTATTACTCAGATGACATTGCTTCTCAGAACTCTGCCGAGACACCCATGGCTCCCTTGTCAGACAGAAAGTTTTCTGAAAGGGCTTTAGTGCCTTCTGTCCGAAGGGTCCTCGTCCTCCTTCCGCAGTAGCCCCCAGTGTGTTTCCTGCCCTGTGTGTGTCCACAGCACCCTGCACTCTGGCCTTGCCTCTGCCCCCTGCCCCTGGCCAGGCAGACCTACCAGCCATACACTGCATGCTGTTTAGTCCAGCAAACGTAAGTCCGCACGTTTACCTTCAGAACTTTCCAGATTCTCTTCACTTTGTAAACCCTTCTCTCCACTCTCAGAATTCCAGACTAGAAATGCCTTCTCTGGAGCCCAGCCACCCTCCCTGTCAAGTCCCAAGAACTTGCTCAGAGTTGGTGGGTATGTTGGTGGCCAGACTCCTGCATGACCACGAGGAAGGGTTTGTTCTGCTCACCTCAGCTTGGAGGACCCTTGAAGCTCACCTAAGGCTCTCTGCTTTCTTGTCCTCTAAAATGTGCAGTCTCACGCTCCCAGGCTCAGAGCTAGTGTTGGCTTAGCTGGGCCCAAAGATGTTTCACGCCAAGCGTTTGATATTCCTGTCTGCAGTGTACCGGGTGGCCCCAAGAGAAGGGAGTCCAACCCCCAGAAGGTCATGGCTACAAACTTTAATGTTTTCTGTTCTCTGTGTTCTTAGTTAAATGATTTGTAGTCTCTTGGAAGTGACTAGAAAGCTTAATTTAAGAAGACCTTTGAGAACTGATTGAAAATGGAAGCTGACATATTTCCTTAACCACTCACCATCCTCAAACTGTGATCAGAGGGTGAGAGACATGCCCAGCTGGATGAGCTGTGTGGTCTTGTCTCATCCAGGCTTTCTCTTCACCATTCTAGTTTATGTGCACACGTACATGCCTCTGTGTATGCGTGTGCCACACGTGTGTGTGCGTCTTCCTTCAGACAGGTCAGATATACCTCCTAAACTTACAAATCAACATTTACAGAGATGAAATGTGCTCCAAAGACCATTCTGGAGTTTTGCTGAGAAATCAATGAGTTATAAACATTAACATCATAAATCATTTTAAAGACTTGCCATTCTGGACTTCTGTAATTTCTCTTTTATAAGCCAGCACTTAACAGTTCTGACTCATCACCCAGGGCACAAATGGTTTCCTTAGCAACGTTGCAAAAGATAGTACTTGAAACTTCTTTCTTTATCCATCAAAAACCAAAGAGGTATATTAAAATTTTTAACTACCAGTTTCAAAATAAAAATTATTTCAGATTTTTCATTTGAGGTTAGAGGAAAATAAAACCTGCCCTGAAAGGAATCTTTCCACCAGTTCTTAGTTTAACATTTTTGGAAAGGAGCAAGCTCAGAGCTTTCATCCTTTTGATTTACTCATGCAGTGGAAATAATTGAAAGCAAATGTCTGTCTTGCCCTTATTCAGGCCTTGGCTTTTATTTCCAAAGTGAATTACTTTAACATTCCTTTTTGAAATAGGAATGCACATTCTTTATGTTGTGACTATATTACCGTGAGACCCTCTGCAAAGAAAATGCTTCTGCTGGCTAAACTATTATGGTGAAAAGTCTGGAAGCAAGAGCTGGAAATATGCTCTGTTTTTCTCTCTCGTTTCATCCTTTTTGGTTTGGTTTCAGATGAGTTCAGCTAAGTAGCTCTGCGTGTCTTGTGAGACTCATCATCTGAATGGCCATGCCTCTGCTGTGTCAGTAAGGCTAACATGCCCTTGAGAGGTCTTCCAGGCCATGCCTGACTCAAGGCTCCGAGCCACTGCATCAGGCTTCAGGGTAAAAAGAGTAGCCTGCTTTGGGCTGTGATACTTGGAACCCACTCACGCCACATTGGCTTTCTCAGATAGCAAGTGCTACCAGTGAGCCATCATGAATATCAAATGACGAGGTTATTCCCCTGCTCGTTTGCCAGCAGAGTGAGAGATCTGCTGCAGGACGTGGCAGGGCTCTGCTGGGCAGGCTGGAGCTGAGAGGTGGGTGGCTGCAGGGCCCCGCGCAGCTGCTGTGGAACTCGTATCTCAAGGAAAAGGGCAGAGCTATTAACATTCTACGAAACCTCATTGGCAGGCAGAGCTGGGATCACTGTGTTCTCCCCGAGGGCTGCATGAGTCTGGAAAGTGAACAGACAGTAAGTAGTGCAAACTGAGAGCCTTGCTCTCCAGCCAGTACTCTCAGATACAGACCAAAAGGAAGAGGCCTCATGCGGCTCTAGCGTTTAGGAAGAGCCGATACTTGCTTATTGCAAGTGCGGGTAACCCATTTCACTGAGAGCCGGGAGGAATGAAAAGAGTGAGGAGGGGAAGGAGACGGACCTGAAGCAAGATGCCCCCTCTCTAGGCCTTGTTTCTCAGCTTTGAAACAAAAGACCAGACTAGATCAATGGTGCCCAAATGATTTTAAAGTTCAGGAACCCTTTTCTTCCTAATACAGTTAGTCACACACGGCAGCCCACCATGTAGAGCTAAGAAAGCAGAACTTCTCCAATGGGAGGGATGGGGTGCCTTGGGCTCTTGGGTCCCACCTGAACATCTCCTCTCCCCAGGCAGTGATGCTGGGAGGAACCCTTAGGGTTCCTTGGAACACAGTTGAGATGCCCCTTCCTGATGCTCTCTACAGTCCCTTCCAAGTCTGCCACCCATTGTATTGTGGTTCTTTCCCAGGGTCTGGCAGCACAGGGCAGCACCACTCAGCGATCTCAGGTATGACCTGCAAGGAAGACAGAGAGTGCCCTAGGGGACTGGATAGGTGCACATACCTTGAAGACTGGAGTTGAAGAGGGCTGGGGTCAGGAGCCATCCCAACGTGCTTGGCCCGGGCTAGGTCCTGCTAGTTTTTAACGGATAGAAAGCATCTAGGCAGATTGCTTCCTTCCATCTCCTCCCCTGCCTCCCTTTAGTGCAGGATGTTATAACTTTGAATAAATCTCACTGCTCAAAGGATCTCTTCAAGGTAGCTGTTTACTACCTTGAAGTATATTAACATTTCCCAAAGAGGCTGAAACAAGAACTGGTAGAAAATCTCTCTCCTGTAAAACCATCAGGGTGGATATATTCACTGGAAAAGGAAATCCCTTTGCCAAACCCAGATGTGCTAAAAACGATTGAGAGCAGTTTTGTTTTGTTTTTTTATAAATTTATTTTTGGCTGCGTTGGATCTTCCCTGCTGCACGCAGGCCCCCTCTACCTGCGGCAAGTGGGGGCCACTCCTCACTGTGGTGCGCGGGCTTCTCACTGCGGTCTTGTTGCAGAGCATGGGCTCCAGGCGCGTGGGCCTCAGTGGTTCTGGCTCGCGGGCTCTAGAGCACAGGCTCAGCTGCCCTGCGGCATGTGGGATCTTCCCGGACCAGGGCTCGAACCCATGTCCCTTGCACTGGCAGGCGGACTCCCAACCACTGCACCACCAGGGAAGCCCGAGAGCAGTTTTTGAATAGAGAGATCTGAAATCTGGTCTAGTAGGCAGGAGCCTTATGTGACAGTTCTAGAACCTTGCAGGTGGAGGGAGATGATTTTTTTTTTTTTTTTTTTTTTTTTTTTTTTTTCAGAAGAAAGAAAAGAAAAGAATTTATTTCTGGGTCTCAAAGTTAATAAACATAATAACGTGTTAGGCTGTACCTATTATGCTCACTTTTTTTTTTTTTTTTTTTTTTTTTTTAGTTTACAATTAGCAAGCCATTTAACCTCTCTAATGCCCACTCTTGTGTGTGAAGTGAGAAGGGAAATCATTTCCATACCAAGTCCCCTCCCACTTAAAGACTCACAAAGCATTTATCACAGCAGCTTAGTTTTCAAGGTAAGCACGTATGTACTTTGGGCTTAACTCATTGTGAATTTTAAAAACTGAACACAGTTGGCTACACCTGGGGCTCATTTACAATGCATTTGATTAATAATTTTTTCATATTTATGCTGCAGCTGTGCATCCCACACTGTGGGTAGCTTTGACTTGATTAACCCTTGGCTTGTTGGACCGGAAGCATGTTAGACCTCAGAACCCATGAATGAGTGAGCATCAGCTCTGTTCTCAGCTCTGTCCTAGATGGAGGCATTGCCATATCATTATCTCTCTATCCCTTCAAAGTGTCATGGAAAGTTTCACAGTGGCTTTCATAGTCACTGCCAGCAGTGACTCAGCCCTCCTACTCACATCCTCACCTGTTCTCCACATTGTTCTCCCTGCCAAGGTGAACCGTTAACTAAGAAGAACTGAATAACGATAACTCTGTTTTTTGTTGTTGTTGTTGTTGTTGTTGTTTTTGCGGTACGTGGGCCTCTCACTGTTGTGGCCTCTCCCATTGCAGAGCACAGGCTCTGGACGCGCAGGCTCACGGGCCCAGCTGCTCCGCGGCATGTGGGATCTTCCCGGACTGGGGCACGAACCCACGTCCCCTGCATCGGCAGGCGGACTCTCAACCACTGCGCCACCAGGGAAGCCCCAGGATAACTCTGTTAATGGACCGCATACTCTGTTGGCTTGCAGGATGCTGGATATTTCAATATTGTTAACGTGTCTGTTTTTTCTCCATGAATGGAATTCTCAGAAGCTTGCTATTTGTAGAAAAATCTCAAATAAAAATCAAATCTGGTCACTGAGGCAAAAGACATTAACAAGAGATACAGCTATCTGGAGCTTTTGTCATTTATATATAACTGTATAAATGCTTATCACTTATAACGATGACTTCCCTATTTTTAGTTCACGAATAGAAATCCACCTAAAAAATAAATTATCTCCCAAGCTCATTAAATATAATATCAGTAGTTAATGCTTTCAAAAGCCACCTATTATTTGAGTGAATATATTGTGATGATCAAAAGCTCTTGTTGCCTGGCAAACATGCAGTCGCTTGACAAGCTTCTGAGGATACCTTCCTGGCACCATGGCTGTTTCGCTGGAGACCGTAACATTATTTCATAACACCACTGATAACATACTGTTGTGCTCAGTCCAGTGTTTCATGGAATCCTCATAATAATCCTGAGAGGTGGCCCCATTTCACAGATGAGGAATTGGGCTCAGAGCAATAACATGATTTGGTCAAAGACACAGGATTCAAATAAAACCCATATTTGTCTGATCCCAAAGTCTTGTTGTTAACCATGATACGATAGTGATGAATCCACTTGATCCCACATGTGAATTTTGTACTGAGCACTGATCGGCTGCAGCCAGCATGCTGGGCTGTGAGGATGCGGCGCCCGGAGCTCCTGTTTTAGCCCTTAAGGATGTAGACAATGATGGTGGACCTTGAGGCTTCCCTGTTGGGCCCCAGGATCTGAAAGGTTGTGTCTACCAGAGTGATTTTGTTAACGCACCCATCCTCCGCCCCGGTCTTGGGTGTGTGACCCAGAAGATTGACTTTCTGTTGTCTTGACGCTTTTTTTCAGTTCCACGCGCTCTCCTCTCCTCAGTCTCCCTTTCCCACCACTCCCACCTCAAGGCGGGCCTTGCACAGAACGCTGTCCGATGAGAGTATTTACAGCGGCCAGAGGGAGCACTTTTTCACCTCAAGGGCTTCGCTTCTGGACCAAGCCCTGCCCAACGATGTCCTCTTCAGTAGCACATACCCTTCTCTCCCCAAGTCTCTTCCATTGCGGAGGCCTTCTTACACCTTGGGAATGAAGTCGCTGCACGGTAAGTGTGTCTTCAGCTGCAGCTGAACAGCCCTGCTGATGATGGCCAGTGTCTGCAGACACGTGCCACTCAGTTTGCTCTAGAATGAGAATTAGAGGAAGTCCTGCTTGCTTGCTCACATTATCTGGGCTCACCACCCCTCCCTCATTCAGCCTCTCACCTGGAATCCCAGACCACAGGGATTGAGCCTCACCAGACCGCAAGAGTCATCTAGGATGCTTGGTTTATTTTTTTTCAGTTGAGGTGTAATTGACATATAACATTATATTAGTTTCAGATTAAGATTTACTTTTGTAGCAGCTTTCAAATATGCAGTACAGTATTAACAATAGTCACCATGCTGTATATCCCCATGACTCATTTATTTTATAACTGGAAATTTGTACCTTTGACCCCCTCCAGCATCTTTCACTACCCCCACCCTACTTCTGGCAACCACCAGTCTATTCTCTGTATCTATGAGCTCAAATTTTTTTTTTTTTAGATTTCATGTATAAGTGAGATAGATCATACAGTATTTGTCTTTCTCTGACATTTTTCAATTAGCACAGTGCCCTCAAGGTCCAGCCGTGTTGTTGCAAATGGCAACATTTCATTCTTTTTTTAATTAATTTGTATTGAAGCATAGTTAATTTACAATGTTGGGTTAGTTTCTACTGTACAGCAAAGTGAATCAGTTCTCCATATACTTATATCCACTCTTTCTTAGATTATTTTCCCATATAGGTCATTACAGAGTATTGGATAGAGTTCCCCGTGCTATACAGTAGGTTCCTAGTCGTTATCTATTTTATATATAGTAGTGTGTGTATGTCAATCCCAATCTCCCAATTTATCCCTCTTCCTCCTTTCCCCCCTGGTAATCATAAGTTTGTTTTCTACATCTGTGACTCTAAATTTTCATTCCTTTTTTATGGCAGAATAATATTCCATTGTATGCGTGTCCACATTTTCTTTATCCATTCATCCATCAGCGGACACTAAGGTGGCTTCCATGTCTTGGCTAAATATGCTGCAGTGAACATGGGGGTGCACATATCATTTTGAATTAGTGTTTTCTATTTCCTTGGTTAAATACCCAGAAGTAGAATGTTGGATCATATGGTAATTCTATTTTTAACTTTTTGACCCTCCATACTGTTTTGCATAGTGGTTGCACCAATTTACATTCCCATGAACAGTGCACAAGGGCTCCCTTTTCTCTACATTCTTACCAACAATTGTTATTTGTTGTCTTTTTGATAATAGCCATTCAACAGTTATGAGATAACATCTCAATAGGTTTCGATTTGCATTTCCTGGATGATGAGTGATGTTGACCATCTTTTCATATACCTGTTGGCCATCTGTATGTCTTCTTTGGGAACACGTCTATTCAAATCTTCTACCCATTTTTTACTCGGATTGTTTGCTTTTTTGCTATTGAGTTGTATGAGTTCTTTACATATCTTGGATATTAACCCCTTATCAGATATGTGATTTGCAAATATCTTCTCCCATTCGGTAGGTAGCCTTTTCATTTTTTTGATGGTTTCCTTTGCTGCACAGAAGCTTTCTAGTTTGATGTAGTACCACTTGTTTATTTTTCCTTTTGTTGCTTTTGGTGTCAGAACCACAAAATCATCACCGAGACTGATGTCAAGGAGCTTACCATGTATGTTTTCTTCTAGGATTTTTATGGTTTCAGGTCTTACATTCAAGTCTTTAATCCATTATGAGTTAACTTTTGCATATGGTGTAAAATAGTGGTCCACATTCATTCTTTTGCATGTAGCTGTCCAGTTTTCCCAACACCAGTTATTAAAAATACTGTCCTTTCCCCATTGTATATTCTTTCCTCCTTTGTCATAAATTTATTGATCATATATGTGTGGGTTTATTTCTGGGCTCTCTATTCTGTTCCACTGATCTATGTGTCTATTTTTATGCCATTACCATACTGTTTTATTGTACCTCTGTAATAAAATTTGAAATCAGGAAGCATGATGCCTCCAGTTTTTTGGTTCTTCTCAACACTGATTTGGCTATTCAGGGTCTCTTGTGGTTCCATACAAATTTTAGGATTGTTTATTCTATTTCTGTAAAATATGCCATGGGAATTTTGATAGGGATTGCTTTGAATATGTTGATTGCTTCGGTGATATGGAAATTTTAACAGTATTCATCTAATCCGTGAGCATTGAATGTCTTTTCATTTATTTGTGTCTTTGTCAGTTTTTTCATTAATGTCTTGTATTTTTCAGTGTACAGGTCTTTCACCTCCTTGGTTAAATTTATTCCTAGGTGTTTTTTTCTTTTTTGTATATGGGATTTTCTTAATATATCCTTTTGATAGCTTGTTGTTAGTGAATAGAAACAACAGGTTTTTTGTATTGATTGTGTGTCTTACAACTTTCCTGAATTCTTTGATTAGTTCTAATAGTTTTTTGGTGGAGTCTTTAAGGTTTTCTATATATGACATGTTATCTGCAAATAGTGACAGTTTTGAATGCTTCCTATTTCTTTTTCTTGCCTCACTGCTCTGGGTAGGACTTCCAATACTATGTTGAATAAAAGTGGTGAGAGTGGGCATCCTGTCTTGTTCCTGACCTTAGAGCTTTCAGCTTTTCAAAGTTGAGTATGGCATCACCTGTGGGCTTGTGATATATGGTTTTTATTATGATGAGGTATGTTCCCTCTGTACCCACTTTGTTCAGAGTTTTTATCATAAATGGATGTTGAAAATGTAAATGCTTTTTCTGCATCTATTGAGATGATCATATGATTTTTATATTTCATTTTGTTAATGTGGTTTATCACATTGATGAACCATCCTTACATCCCTGGAATGAAACCCACTTGAACATGGTATATGATCCTCTTAACATATTGTTGAATTAGGTTTGCTAATATTTTGTTGAGGAGTTTTGCATCCATGTTTTTAGGGATATTGGCCTATAATTTTCTTTTCTTGTGGCATCCTTGTCTGGTTTCCATATCAGGGTAATGCTGGCCTTGTAAAATGTGTTTGGAAGTGTTCCCTCCTCTTCTATTTTTTTGGAAGAGTTTGAGAAGAAATGGTATTAAATCTCCTTTGAATGTTTGGTAGAATTCATCGGTAAAGCTGTCTGAGTCCTGACTTTCATTGTTGGGAGATTTATGATTACTGATTCCATCTCCTTACTAGTAATTTGTTCAGATCCTCTATTTCTTCATGATTCAGTCTTGGTAGGTTGTGTGTTCCACTTCTTTGAAGTTGTCCGGTTTGTTGGCATATGACTATTTATAGTAGTATCTTATGATCCCTTGTATTTCTGTGGTATCAGATGTAACAACTCCTCTTTGATTTCTGATTTTGAGTCCTCTCTTTTTTTCCTGAGTGTAGCTAAAGATTTATCAATTTCATTTATTTTTTTTTCAAAGAACCAGCTCTTAGTTTCTTTGACCTTTTCTGTTCTCTTTTTAGTCTTTCATTTATTTTGCTCTGATTTGTGTTTTTGTTTTTTTGTTTTTTGTGAGTGTGTGTGTGGTACATGGGCCTCTCACTGTTGTGGCCTCTCCCACTGCGGAGCACAGGCTCCGGACGCGCAGGCTCAGCGGCCATGGCTCACGGGCCCAGCCGCTCCGCGGCATGTGGGATCTTCCCGGACCGGGGCACAAACCCGTGTCCCCTGCATCGGCAGGCGGACTCTCAGCCACTGCGCCACCAGGGAAGACCCCGCTCTGATCTTTGTTATTTCCTTTCTTCTACTAACTGTGGGCTTCAATTCTTCTTCTTTTCCTAGTTTCTTGAGAGGTAAAATTTGGTTTTTTGAGATCATTCTCATTTCTTGATGTAGGCAATTATTGTTATGAACTTCCCTCTTAGAATTGCTTTTGCTGCATCCCATAATTTGGTATGTTGTATTTCCATTTTCAGTTGTCTCAAAGTATTTTTTAAGTTTCTCTTGCTTTCTTCTTAGATCCGTCGGTTGTTCAGTAGCATGTTGTTTGTTTAATCTCTACCTATTTGTGAGTTTTCCAGTTTTCTCCTGTAATCAATTTCTGGTACATACCACTGTGGTCAGAAGAGATGTTTGATATGGTTTTAATCTTTTTAAATTTAGTAAGACTTGCTGTGGCCTAACATATGGTCTGTCCCATATGTTATCCCATATGCACCTGAGAAGAATGTGCATTCTGTTGCTTTTGAATGGAATGTTCTGTATTTCTGTTAAGACCATCAGTCTAAAATGTCATTTAAGGCCAATGTTTCGTTATTGCTTTTTTGTCTGGGTGATCTATCATTTGTTGAAAGTGATATATTAAAGGCCCCTGTTGTTGTTGTATTCCTGTCTATTCTCCCTTGAGGTCTATTAATATTTGCTTTATATAATTAGGTGCTCCTAGGTTATGTGCACAAATATTTACAAATGTTATATTCTGTTGTTGAATAACCACTTTAGTATTATGTCATGATCTTTGTCTGTTACTACAGTCTATCTTAAAGTCTATTTCATCTGATGTAAGTATAGCTACCCCAGCTTTCTTCTGGTTTCCTTTTGCATGGAATATCTTTTTCCATCCCTTTGTGTGTGTCCTTACATGTGAAGTGAATCTCTTGAAGCAGCAATTAGACATATATTTTTTATCCAGTCACTCTATCTTTTAATTGAAGAATTTAGTCTGTTTACATTTAAAGTAATTATTGGTAACTATGTACTTGTACCATTTTGTTGTTTTCTGGATGCCTGTAGTTCCTCTGATGCTTTCTTCTTCTTTACTGTCTTCCTTTGTGGTTTGATGACTTTCTTTAGTGGCATGCTTTGGTTTCTTTCTCTGTCTTTTGTGTATATACTATAGAGTTTTGCTTTGTGGTTACCATGAGGCTTACTTAAAACAACTTATAACAGTCTGTTTTAAGTTGAGAACAGCTTAAATTTGAACATATTCTAAAGCTCTAACTTTTACTCCCCACCCCACTTCATGTTTTTATGTAAAAGTTACGTCTTTTTATCTTGCGTATCCCTGAACTTATTATA